CATGTTTGTTGAGTGAATGAGTGAGGGGCTGGGGACACTTGGTTTTCAGGCCCCAGGCTTGACTAGGGTGATGAGTTAAGCAGGAATAGAACATTCTGTAGGAGCGGACTTGGCGGGGAAAGGCAGGTGAGTGAGGAGGGCAGAAGGTATGTTCTCGGTCACTCTGAATCAGAGGGATGTCCTTTGGGCCAGGAGTGTTTTCTGGAGCAGACCAAGGACGGTTCACAGAAAAGTCTGGGCCCTGGCCAGAAACAGGTGGCTGGCCCCTTGATGCCCCCCTCATGGCCGTTGGCTCCCTCATTCCCGGCTGCCGCTTTGCAGAGGTGGAGAGGCCTGGGGCGATGAGCACCAGAGCCCACATTATTGTCCCACAGCCGGGAAAAATCACCAAAGCAGGCATTCTTTTGATAGAAGTTATCAAGGTCTTCCTTGCATCAGAACAGGTGAGGGAAGAGATCTATTTCGGCAGCTGTGACCATCCTAAGATAGGCTCTGAGCAGCAGTCAAGGAAAATCCAGACAGGAAACTGGGATTAGCACCCATGAGTTGCCCTTCCCCCACCCTCTACTTCTGTTCAGCTCCTCTTCCTGGCAGTCCTGGTATCTAGAACCACAAAGACCATTCCCACCTCCTCTTTTGTGCCTTAGTCCCTGGGAGGGGCCTGCGGGCTGAGCATTAGCTGTGAGTCTTATAGCTTCAGTGGCCATCAACCAGCTGACATCGGGCAATGTGGTGACAGTCCCTGGGGGGGAGTGGGATGAGCACAGAGGTGCGTCTTTCCGTCTGCACCCTCATTGCAGTAAGAGGGGCAAAACCAGGGGCGCCTGGGTGGCTCAGTCGTTAAGCGTCTGCCTCCGGCTCAGGTCATGATCCCAGGGTCCTGGGATTGAGCCCTGAGTCAGGCTCCCTGCTCAGCGGGAAGCCTGCTTCTCCCTCTCCCACTCCCCCTGCTTGTGTTCCTGCTCTCGCTGTGTCTCTCTCTGTCAAATAAATAAATAAAATCTTAAAAAAAAAAAAAAAAAAGAGGGGCGAAACCAGTCCTTGTGTTTACCATCACCCAAACCTTGACCAAGGAGGTGCCTGTGTGTGCAAGGCGCCCTTCTGAACACTGGAGACACAGTGGTGTATTCTTGCTGGTCCCAGCATTGTTGGGAAGTGAAAATGTACCCATGGGAAGAGAGCAAAAATACAAGGCTCCCTGTGGGGTGAGACCTAGAAGAAGGGGTCATAAAAAGGGATGAGTTGATCACTGAGGGATAGAGTTCTGAAGTGGAAGACCTTGGGATGGGGCCAAGCAGTGTGGGAGAAAAGGGGCAACCCAGGCTGGGGACACAGCCCAAACAAAGGCATAGGGGCAGGCACCGACAGGGCCTGTAATGACCCAGTGGTCACATTGTCCAACTGTAGTGGCGGGTCTGGGCTGAGAGAAGTTCTAACAGCCCAGGCAGGAACAGGTCAGACTTGCAGGCCCGATCATGGAATTTAGGCTGTGCCACGTGGGTAATGGAGAGCTCTTGGTGAGTTCCGAGCAGGAGAGAAATAGGGGGGTGACGTGTGCACGGCCATGTTTTAGGAAGATAAATCTTGTTCCTTACATCTTTGTGTATGTCAACCAGAATTAGGAAGAACAAATGTCTGATGGGGATGTATCCTCCCAATGGTATACAGTTGGTTCCTGCACTCACCTACAGTGTCTCCAGTTGGGGACATTTTCTGGCCACAGGTGAGGCAGGCCAGAAGTCATCCCAGAAGCAACCCTGATGCATTTAAGGGACAGGAGTTGATGGTAGAGCCCGCTGGCCTCAGTAGGACAACTCTGGGAGAATCCTCCCCAGAGTCTCTCAACACTCCTATGTGTCCCAGTTATAACCTACTTACCAACCGAATACACACTTTACTGGCTCTTTTCTTTTCTCTGTCATTTCTCCAATCCTTCACAGTGAGTGCTTCCTGGGATCTCCTTCCAAATAAAATACTTGCTCCCAAATCCTTGTCTCAGGCTCTGCTTTTGGGGAAATCCAAACTAAACACCAGCCTCCCATTCTCTCCGTGTCTGCCCCCAGGCTGCTAAAAACTCCTGGAAAACACAATTCTAATAGCTCTATGATAAATTTGTGTTTGATGAAGTAAAATACTGAAACAGACCCTGAAGAAAATTCATCTGGGAGTATAATAGTCAATGGATTAACCTGAGGCAAAGCTGGAGGCAGGGAGGCCAGTAGGAGGCCGCCCGCCCTCCTCCTTCTAAAAGCTGCCCAGAGGGGTGCGCCTGGGGGGCTCAGTTGGTTAAGCAGTTAAGCGGTTAAGCATCTGCCTTCGGCTCAGGTCATGATCCCAGGGTCCTGGGATCCGTGGTGGGGGTGGGGGTGGCAGGGAGTGGGTTTCTCCTTCTCCCGCTGCCCCTCCCCCAGCTTGTGCACTCTCTCTCCGCCCCCTCAAATAAAGAAAATTAAAAAAAAAAAAAAAAAAGTAAAAATAAATAAATAAAAGCAGCCCAGAGCAGGTTGGAGGCGGCTGTGGAAAACAGACAGGGATTGGTGATTACTTCACTACGTCCGATATAAGACCGCACGTTGAGCCCACATGTGTTTTGGAAGACAGGGCCAAGGTAAAAACTGCCTGGCTTCTGTGTGCAAGCAGAGTTCCTTGTTGAAGGAAACTAAAGCATTTGCCCTTTGAAGAATGGAAAAACTGCACGCGCTTATCTGCCGGGGCTCTTTTGCTTATAGAAGATCTAACATTAGTCCCACAGTGGAGGAGGTGACTTTCCGGCCACTTGCCTGGCCCCCTATTATTTTCTGTGAGGCACTGAACACTCCACCTATTTCCTTTTCATGTTGTCTCCGTGAGGACTCTGGTTTTGCATCTTTGTTTTTTTTGTTTTGTTTTGTTTTACCAGGTTTTTCGTTTGTTTCTGGGTGTCCCACAGCGATATATGTTAAAAGTCCTCCCTGTTACCTCGGTAAATCTATTTCTGGGAATAAGCTAAACACCGCAAAGGATTTCTCCTCAAGTGTGTTCATCACAGTGTTATTTTTAAGGGTTGAAAATTGAACACACCCAGGGTCCTCTAAGAAGGGAATGGTTGTGTAACCGAAGGCAAGTCACTCAAAGGAAGAGTGTGCAGTCATTAAAAAAAACCCCACGAAAAATGAGCTCCTTCCTCTCCTCCTCAGATGGGAATGGAGAGAAAAGAAAAGAACTCGGGTGGAAATTTCAGTGTTTCTTCTTGGTACAGATAGGAAGTGCTGAGCAGAGACAGATGACCCGACAGCAGGCCCTTTTCTTGGGCCCAGGTCCTAACGAGACACTAATTGGAAGGAGGTAGTTACATGACCGACTGGCTATGTTTGGAAGGCCTTGAAAATACCACAGTAAAGAAATTCCATTTTTCTGCTTGGAGGCTCTGACTGTGCTGTTTCTCCAAATCACGGTTCTCATTGTGAGGTGTGTGTGTGGTTTTGCCTGACAGGACCCTGGTGGTACTCTGGGGACTTACAAAGGGTAGATGGCACCAGTGGGATGCACGGTGGTGGGGACTCAGTTTCAAGGTTCCCCCCCCCCCACCGCCACCAGAATAGAGCTGTGGTATGGAGCCCTGAGCCCCTCCTCTCCCCCACTCCCTGGAATCGGGGTGCCGCCAACCATGGGGGAGCACCTGCCGAAGCTCCCAGGAAGTCCCCCTGAGTGAATGGCTCAGGAAGGAAACTGAGGCCCAGGTGGGGGTGAGGAGCGGTGGGTGGTGGCCAGGACAAGGTACGACAAGGCCAGTTCCAGCGGGTCAGGGTGGGATTCTCTGAAAGGTGGTTCTATTCTGCAGAATTCTTGTGTCTGGGGGCAACTGAAACTCACCCTAAACTAAGGAAAAGGGATGCTTTTTGGTTCATGTGATGGGGGAGGACGGTGATGGGGCTTCTCTGTAGTCCCACTGACGCAGGGGTCAAGCAGGGCCTTCAGGTCCCCCTCTCATCCCCCCCACCTGTGAGTGGTATTCTCATTCCCTCGTCCTACAAACAGACGCTTCCACTTGGTGGGAGACACACCTCAGGCAGCTTCAGACTTACTTCAGTTACTCTACACAAACTCAGAGAATCTGAGGAGAGAGAGATTATCTTTCTTTTGTATGGATATACATAAACCCCCAGGAAGGACTATGATTGACCCCACTTGCGCCACATATCCAGCTTTGGGACCAACCACTGTGGCCAAGAGCATTGGCCAGGCCTGGGTGACATGGCCATTTCCATGGCCAAGGTGGGGGGGGGGGCGGGAATCAGCAGCCAGGCCAGAATGACATATTTGGGGTAGGGAAGGAGCAGTTTCCCCAAAGGAAGGAGGAATATTGGCATCAAGAGAGGGAGGCATTCCTTCCCCTTGGGCTGTGGGAAAAGGTCATATTTCCCATACAGCTTTGGTTTTCCAATCAGCCTTATTCCTAATCCCAATGACACCTTGTGCAAATTAGAAAAATTAGCCCTGTCCTCTAGACAGTTTGCTACCATCTGCTACACAATTATCATCTCAAATACACAAATCTATAATGATTACAAAGGTGACGGTGCCCAGAATTGTACAGTGTACAACCCAGACAACCGAATGCAACAGCCCTCCGCCCCCTTCATATGTTACCATTCCCTTCAATTACTTCAACCCCTCATTAAAGAAATTCTTACCCCATAGAGCTCTAGGCAGTGCCTGGGTAGAGACCATAAATGGGAATGACGGCTG